TTAATGAAAAGTCTTTTCTAGATATAATAACAAATTTTTTTATATTAATTATATAATTTAGTTTACATTTTAATTGTAGATCTCTCAATAATAAATATTTACCAAATCATAACACTGAAAAAAGTTTTAACACTCCGAAAATATTTTTTAGCATAAATATTTAAATGCACTAATTTACTTTCGACTCCTGCTAATTGAGAAGTTCCTGTAGCCTAGTCAGTTCCCAACTAAAGGAAGCAGTTTGGTATATCCACATGTGCGCGAATTTTAATTGCAAGCATCAAAGCTGAAAGGAAAAATGAAATAATTTCGTAATCAGCCTCAAAATATACGAGAAGGAACTCACTGAATCCTTGGAACTATAAGTTTGTCGCAAGTCATAAGTAACTTCTGCCTTGTTTGTTTACCTTTGTGCTGAAATTCCTTTGAAATTCTTAATGAAATAATATACTTTCAGCTTGTTAACAAAAAAATATATTAAATTCTTGCTACACTGTTTGTTTTTTCTTCTATTTATACTTTTTGCATAGTTTTGTTTAAATTTTATTTTCATTCTTGTTAACGACAACCAAACAAGACATCCAAATTTTTTGCTCCTATTTTGTCCCACTGCGTTTTTGACATTACACTAAAAATTCATAACTGTGCATAACTAAATTTCATAGAAACTTACGAGTACACAAACAAACACACACACTTTAGACCTATTTTCCATATAAACTCATAAGGAGGGGACTTGAATTTTCGTTGTGAATTCCTAATGGAAATCCCTCAAGCTTCGTTTTTTTCTCTTATAACACACAGCACACGCAAATATTTATATAAGACCTAATCAATTTTATGTGTATATATGCGTTGGTAATTTTATTTTACTTCTCCGCTTACAGATTTTGCAGGAGATGATGATAGAAATTGACTATGATGCCGATGGCACTGTTTCCTTGGAAGAGTGGCAACGTGGCGGCCTGACAACGATACCGCTTCTCGTCCTACTCGGTAAGTTCAAAAGCAATGACAGTTACTTTCACATTGTCTGTTATAATAAAGTCATTTGCAAATTCGCGCTTTATCATTTTCGAAGGTAATTTTAAATTCAATACCTCCCGAAAAAGGCATAGGCCAACTCCAGCGCAGCATGATACCATTTTAGCATATACGCGCAATGTGAATAATATTAGTTTGGGATTACAATACTCGGATACGTTTTATTTTTATATTTGACATTACTTTCAGGTATCGACAATACGGCTCTTAAGGAAGATGGCATCCATGTGTGGCGTTTGAAGCACTTCAGTAAGCCGGCATATTGCAACTTATGCCTGAATATGCTGGTCGGGCTTGGCAAAAAAGGTCTTTGCTGTGTGTGTAAGTACTCCTAGCTATGTAACAATTTCAATGTGTAACTCAATAAAGTACACATTTTACGAATATATATCATTTCCAACACACATACAAATGTGCATTTCCGGGAAGTCGAAAATGTTATTTGCTCCAAGCAAAGAAAATTGTTTTGTGCTGCAACTCATTGTGAAAGTTAAATTAAATTGAATTATTCAAGTTCTGTGTGGAAAATAATAACTCTATCTGACTACTTTACATATCGTAACTCCTAAACGCCTTGAAAGTGTTGCAATCTGTCACAAATAAATTCACCAAAACTATTTATGTTCAACAAATTTTGATACGTCAAACAAATTGTTGAAAATGCAAAAAGACGTTATCTATTGCTCACTTTTCTATTCGAAATAGATTTCTTGTCATAGTACATGCAAATTTTAATTAGAAAAGACGTTTTAAACAAAATATGTACATATAAATTAAAAAATTAACATAGTATTACGATTAATAAGAGCGGATTTTCTTGGAAATCTAATTTTTAAGTTGGCAGCACTGTTTCTCTTGACAGCTGATTTATATTCAGTACGTTTTGTCGTAACAACATGGGTCTACTTTGGTCTGAGCAACGTGCTGGTGCCATTTTTATCATATTTTTGTTTAAAAAACGCTGACATTAGGAACGCTACTGTCAATGGGAAGGGCTATAGGTTATGTTTATTGACTACATCCATTTATACATAACATCCAACAACTTCAGTTTCGATAAAACAACACAAAATGCAAAACATTGGTCCTGCGAATTGACCCCTTGATCTTGCCATCTTTCTTCTCTGTATATTTTTAATATTTTTATATGCAATCGCTTACTTAGATAAACCAAAGACAATGAATTACTTCGAAGTAGGTTTCAGAAGATTTTGTAAACTCACTTCTCTGGACTATCTGATCTATCGCTTATCTAATAGGATAAACCAGAAAAATTGAACTATTTGATAGTCAGAAGATTTTGTGATCTCACTTTTCTAGATTATTTTCTGTAGTATTTATATGTGAAATCGCTAATTTATACGATAAACCAGAGACTTCTCTGAATAAGCCAGACATAAACCAAAGATCTCAATGTTCTAGATTATTATCTATATATTTGAGTAAGATTTGGGTTTATTAGGGAAGTAAGAAAGCAACTAGCTGGATAGCTAAGACACTGCCTTAATAGAAAATAGTTTAGGAAAGCAATTTTAAATCGAATTTTTGATTTTGTAACTCCCATCTTTTAAAAGATAAAGAACACAGCAAAAGATGTATTTTATACGAACATAGATTAAAACTTAGACATCAAAAGCGAATAATTTTTAGTTTAGATAGTGAAGTAATTTCAAAAAAATTGATTTAGACTCAAAGCTTTATATAACACAAAGAAGTCAAAAGTAAGATACATAACTGACATATATAAATATATTCTTAGGATCTGAACAGCATTTTTGCAAACTTCTATAAACACTCCAAGTACTTCGTTTATAAATATTAAAAGCAAATAACCATACAAATATGAAAAACAAGAAAAATGTTAAATTTGACATTCTGAAGCATCTATCCTTCATCCTTCATGCAATCATGAGCAGTTGTGTTCCAAATCAATTATTTGCAATTTGCAAACTAAATCTTTTCAAACTCTGCATTTAGAAAATCAAATTATTGACATAAAATCATACAGTAGTATTTATTTGTCTCCATATGTATATATCGTCATTTCAGACAGCTTTTTATGTCGTAGCTTAACGATGAAGTTAACCAATTCCATTAATTTTTGCAGTTAATCTACTTGAATTTAACAGCAAATATTTATGATAAGACTTATTAGCTTAATTATAAACCTAGAGAGCAATGTGCATTTAAACAGATAATTAAGCAAATATACAGACAAGTAAAGGGACAACCTGCGGTAATTACACGAAATAGATTTCATTCGTCGTAGTTATCAATTACATTTATTGCTCATACTACTCGTACATAGACCCAGGGTTGACCAATCACCACCACTTCTAGCATTTCTATCTATTACTACCCACTCTATCTTTTAAAAATTACTTACATTTAAACAATTAAATGTAAAAGTTTGTTACAGTTTGATATTTAGTTCAGGAGTTACAGTGGTTTTACGAACGCTACTTTTGTTGTTTTTAAAACGGATTCAAAACTATGGTCCAACCTAAAGACCGGCTTCATAAGTATTTTCCGAACTTTTGAAGACAACCGTGTCAGATTAGTTTTTAGATTCTTGACGAAGTAGTACAAATAAGACGGTTAACTTGCAAAACGTCAAAAACAGTTTAGAAAATTGTTTTGAAGAACCATAAATTGAAGATCAAGGAAATAGCTGACAACCTGTATATCTCAAAGCAACGCATTGGATCTATTTTACATGAATATTTGTTCAAGAGAAAGTTGCTTTCAAAGCAAGTGCCACTTTTGAAGACAGTTGATCTAGAATTGCAACGTGCCCACGATGCAGAGAGCTATTTGGAGTTGTTTAAGTGAAATAAAATGGATTATTGTGTCGATATGTGGCGATGCATAAAACCTACATTTACCATTTTACCTCAAACTCATAGCAACAAGCAGATGAGTGTATACCAACCGATGAAAGCCGTTCAAAGCGATTAAATGAGCAATAGTTGGTGGGTGAAATTATACCATCCATATTATAGGATAAATATGGTATATTATTCATCTACATCCTTCAAAAAGGGAACCTATTATTAGCAAATACTATATATAGTTATTGATGCAATTGAAGGACGATAATAACTGTAAAAAAATGGGTCTAAATCAAAAAGAAAAAAACAAGGGTTCATTAAGACAATCGTAGTTAATTACAAGGAGTTTTTGGACCGAATTTTACTGTATCTCAATAAATATTGAAAGAGAATTTTATTTGGAAAACGTTGATGAATTTACAATGATGTTCTGTTTATAAAAAAATTTAATAATTTACTTAGATATTGCTTCAAATGTTTAAATCCCCCTAGCTTTAATGGTAGCACTGCCATTGGTGGTATCCTATATGTAGATGATTAAAGCTAAAGATATAGAATAGATAACCTGGATTTTGTGAACTAACCAAAAGTTATAAATGAAGGATTAATCATCTAAAGGATTGAAAGCCAAATGAAATAATCTTCATCTGCTATAGCACTCAAGTCGGTATACAATTAAGTAAATGAGTTCAGATATGGTCGTACATGGGTTAAGCACCAAAAGAACTTGTAGTCAGATAAAATAGTTTTTATAAAACATCTACTATATTACTCAAGCCGGTATACAATTAAGTAAGTAAATTGCGACATTATCGTACAGCCACTTTTCACGTACCCCAATTGAACTTCTAATTAAATATGCCACCACAGTGAGCAGAAATAGAATTCACAATGCTATGTGCTTACTATCAACACAGGCACATCAATTGGATTTAAATAAACTGTCGAAACCTCATTGTGGACCAAAAGCGTGACATCCAATGTCAATTATTTAAATTCAATTGATGTGCCTGTGATCACGTCAAGCTCTTACATCGATCAAACGTAACGATTGAGCGATCTCGGTTCTTTTTCTCTATGCCTTTTAGTATACAAATTGGTGTCTAGATACATAACAAATCGTTTCGTGAAATTTCATACACCCTTATATAGGATAATATAAACTATTATATATAATTATTATTGAGTAAGAGTTTGAAAGTTCGCATAGAAACTTATTTTGATTTTAGACAAGAAAGGTCAATAAATTCATAGATTTGGTAGAGAGTATTTCGTAGTGCCTATTCGGTAAAGTTTTTAAATTATTATTAATTATAATAATAAAAAATATATCTTTCAGTTAATATAATATAATAATAAAAACATTAATAAAGACTAATGTAGAAGTTTTTATTTTTTTTACACATGAGCCTTTTTATCAGTTAAAAATACTTAAAAAGTTATCAACTACTTTAAATATTATCACTTTTATATAAAACTATATAAAATCCAATGCCTATAATAAAGTTAATAATTAACTTAGAACGTAATTGTCTCTATAATGCAGGTATTATATATTCTACACTACATTATATTGTATTGTAAATATTGGAAGCAAAACCAATATTTTTATTAAATGTATTTAATAATGAATTCTGTTCGCTTTTTCAAAATTAAATGCAAAATTAGAATTTTAAATTTAAAATTTATAATCTATGCTATGATTATTTTGTCTATCAACGATAGAAACTTTTCTATTGTCTATCGGCAATAGACAACCCATAATATGCACTATTATGAATGAATATTATGAATTAATGTTAAAAGAAATTATTTGGTAATTGTCTTCAAATTTAAAAATTTATAATAATATAACAAATAATTAATAATATAACATTTTATAATTTCATTATTTGAGGTAAAATATTTACTAAGTCCCTGTGTACTCTTTCCATAAATCAAAATTTATAATAAAAGCAAAATACTCTAAAATTTTGAACTTCTTTGAAATTACTTTCCATAACGTAGTTAATATTTTATTACAAAGCCTTGTCTTCAAGTGATTACATATCATATCAAAATGAATATTTTATGCTGTTTGCTAAATACAGTAACCGCTAAAAAAGGATACAATTTTTGCTTTCTGAGTAATACTTATACATTTTTCCGGGACTTTAATTTTTAAGTAGAAAATTTTTATACAGAAGTTGTTAAAAAAAATATAATATTTTAGGAACTTTTCAATTGCTTCAAATTGAAAAGAAGTATATAAAAGTAGGCAAATATAAGCAATAATACCTACTTAACATTTCTCCTTTTTTATGCGAAACATCCTTTAAATGAAGTTTTATATGGATTAACATATTTGCATTACATGGTAAGCGCTTAAAGCCAAACATGTTAAAACACATAAGATACATAAATTAATTGTAACACATAATTGAATATACATCGAGTACACACTTGAAGCATTTAAAAAAAAATTGATTTCAATGTAGTATGAGAATTTTTTTAAACAATCAATTTTTTTTATTTATATATCTTTTCTTTTCATTTTTATGTGAATTCTCATACCGACACAGTATGTAAATACACGGTGCATGAACGCTGCGTGCAGCATGCGCCCGCCTCCTGCATTACAACGTATGTAAAATCGAAGAAAACCAAAGGGGGTGGAGATCTACTACATCATTGGGTTGAAGGCAATTGCTACGGACGCTGCTCAAAATGTCGAAAACGAATTAAGGCATATCATGGTATTACTGGTCTGACATGCCGTTGGTGCCATATGATGGTAAGTACTCGTATTTTATGTCAAAAAAAGTAAATGCACAATATTAAGATAAAAAATAGTAGAAATATATAACTCTGAGGCAGCACGTAGCAGAAAATACTCGTTAGTCAAAGAAAAAAACAAGTTAAGTTGATAAAAACGACATCAAGCATATCAAAAGATTTCCAGTGTCTAATCAAATTAATGTAAGTGAGTGCACAACTGTGCGTATGAGTAATTTTTAAACAATCAATCGATGATTTAGCACACACACACGAACGATTCTTCTTATTGCTGCTTCTGAATCTATTTTATTTTAATAATTTTTTATTTATGATTTAATGCAATTTTCCATACATTAAATTAAAGCTTCGCATGCAGTTCTGTGAAATCATCACAGAACACACGCAATCTGTGCAAATATTTTGCAAATATTGAGGCTAGGAAAATTCCATTTCAGCATTGGGAGCGTGTAAAATTGCAGCAACATTTCACTTGTCGCTACAATCCTGAAACAACTTCAGCAAAACATTGTTTGTTTTATCATTGCTTCCTTGCCGCAGCAGTTGGCAGTAGAGCATTGCATCTGCGGTTTCCATTATTGTTTAATTTTGCAGATTGTCACGTTTCTTAGCTTCTGTCTGGGTGGGTGTTGCATTGCATCTGCAAATTTTATAAATAAATACAATCTTGAAGTTGCCGCTAACTAATTTAGCAATAAGTTGAAGTTTTGTTTGTCTTTGATTTGTTTTATTTTGTTTTGCCATTTTCTTGATTGTCAAAGAATTTGAGAAAATTCGCTGAATGAATGACAGAACACGCAGCGACATGTTCCGTAAATCTATTCAATTCGGGATTATACTTTGAAATATTAATTCCCTTTTAACAAATTAAATTAACAAAGAAAATTGAAGTTATAAATATCTACAGAGCTCTACTCAAACATATTAAGAAAGATAAATTGAAGTCAAATTTTTTCAATTTAAGTTCATTTTCGTAATAATTTTGTTAATGACTTCAATGGAGTGTAAAATAGTTTACAAAATTTGAAAAATAATTAGATTTACTAATTAATTAAAATAGTCAGAACATTCTCAAGAAGAGTCAGAAAGAATGGGAAGTCATAAGGAAAAATGACGACGTTTGTTGCTATGGTCTTTGTCGCCATGCTTGATTTGAAGGAACCTTTTAAGGATACACTTCACTTACGCTAATTTGTTAATTGAGTTTCGTAACATTTTGTGCTCCAATTTTATTTAAATTTTCTCTCATTTCAAATACTTAAGTTACACAATCGTTGCGCTTCATCAGTGAAAAAAGAATGTACATTGGGTGAATATGGAGAATTAATGGTGCCACCCACCGCCATATGCCCAGCAGTATTGGATCGACAACGTTCAGTTAATCAAGCGAGCAAAGTAAGTTATTTTTGTCGTTGTTGTTATATTTATATTTAAATTTTCATTTACATTTTAATTTGATTGAAAATATGAATTATATATCATGGAATTGGCAATTAATTGTTATATGTTTTTCTTATTTTACAAAATTTGTACGCCCTCTAAAATTGCTTACTCAATTCACGCTGCTTAAAATTGTTTGTATTAAATATGAAATTGGTGTGCTTAAAAACAAATCAATTTGAAAATATTTCAAAATAAAACTAACACAAGAAATCACAAATCCATCAGGCCACACATTTTCAAATAACCCCACCAAATGATATAAGTTGCCCTCTACTCGTTTTCGTTAATCCAAAAAGTGGCGGACGTCAAGGTGATCGGATACTGAGAAAATTTCAGTACATGCTCAATCCAAGACAGGTTTATGATTTGTCAAAGGGTGGACCAAAAGAAGGTATGTAAATGATATATTTATAAAAATTTAAATAAAAATTAATACGAATAATTAAATACAAGAATTATTTCCAAGACCACTGATGATGGCTATGTGGTATTACTAGAAACAGCTGTATGGTCAGCCAAAAATTCCATTAATTAAAATAATATAAAAAATAAATTTTTTTGTTGTTGTAGTTCACTACTGTTCGAAAAAAACCTCTTTAATTTAAATTAATTATATTTTATTTTTGAATTAATTAATAATATTTTTTTCTTTTTTAATTGTTAAAAATTCAACACTATTCTTTTGTAGAGGCATTCAAATTATTAAAATAAATAAAATCTTTTGTTGTTGCAATTCACTACAATTCGAAACCACTCTATTAAATACAATAGTTTCTATTAAATAAAATAGTCATTACCATCACATTTGCGTTAAAAAGAAATTTAATCAAAATTTCGAAACAAACTCTCTAGTTTTCTTTAGGATTTCTCTAGTTTTCAATATTTCCCATATAGTGTCTCGATTAGAAGCCACTTGCCTTTGCAGCATCTAGAAAAGTAAGACAAATAATTGAATTGAATTCTACTGTTTATTTAATACGAAACGGAGAGAGTGTTTAGGTGGTCTAAGCACAATTGTTCTTGGCAGAAATTGTTTGGATTATTTTTGATAAGCCTGGTCAGAGGCTCAACACAATAATTTGTGTTGATGCGTGGTAGTATTGTCTTATGCCATGCTTGGTTATTTTAACAATTACAACTTCTTTTTACACCATCGAGATGTATTTTTTACCTCTGCCAAAAAATTCGGAATCTCTTGTGCTAAAATATCCGAAAACTTATTAAAATATTCAATTAATAAGATAATTCGGTCTTTCTTGGAACTTTTCCAGAT